TCTATCCTGTGCCAATCTTATTGTCTCTGACACACCTACCTTCATTACCTCAGTCACTGAATCAATCTATCACATAGAGGGTCTTCTTCTTTTGCACTATCTCTCCACCCTCCCAAGCACAGCATTCCTCTCCAAGGTCTTATCCCTCCTTGCAACATATACAAAATATGCCACACAAAGCTTCAGAATCCTTGAGCAGCCTGGTCTCACCCTCTCTAAGATGAACAAGTTTGTCCTTCTAGCAGTCCATGGTGTATTCTATACTTTTCTACAGCAACACAGCTCAAAGACATCAATTCTCTATCATCCCTAATCATTTTCCAGCTTTCTGATGCATAACAAGTAACTACAGTGATTATGGCCTGAACAGGTGCACTTAATCTCCAGACTGACATTGATGCTCTTCAGTACTTTGGAAAATACATTACTTTATAAAGGCTAATTCTAACTCACAGCACCCTAGAGCGGGAAAAGAAGGCCTCCATATTGTTTCCAAGGCTGTGAATCTTTACAGAAGCAGACTGGCACATCTTTTTGCCCCAAGAGGTAGCTGATGAATTAAAACGATAAACCTTTACATTAGCAGATAAGTACTTTATCACTTGCACAACCAGGACCCTATGCAATTGTGAAAACTTTGGAGATAGTGGAAGGAACAGAAAAATAGGTATAAAGTTTAGGTGCAAATCTTAGTTTTGATGCTAATTAAAGGGATAGGCTTGGGTGGACAGTCCTCTTTGAATGTAATGTTCTTACAAAAATGAGGTTAGTAAATAATTTTGTGAAGAATCATTTTGCAAATCATTAATTAATTACTACTCTTGTGCTATGAGTCACCTGCAACTCGACGGCACTTAACAACAATAACATCAAGAGAGAGAGAGACAGAGAGAGAGAGAGATATCAGCTGGCCCAGCGAAGAGAAAACGATGTGACCAAGACAAAGGTGGGTGACTTTTAGTTCGTGGCCCTCTGGCCAGTCTTTCATTGTTTTTGTTCAGACATTCCTCTAGGTCGTATAGCCCTGGTGTACAAGTTGCTGTCCCACGGTCACTTGTGGTTGCTGTGAGGCCGAACACTGTGACACGGATGTGTCAAACGCGTTAATGGTTGGCTACCCAATGCGGACTGAGAGTGGGGTGGAGCTCCCCGATCAAACAAGTGTGGAAGGAGGAGTGGCATCCACTTCCATAATAGCTTGCCTCCAGAAACCCTATGAACCTGGAGAGAGGATGAAAGGCACCCAAGCGTCGAGGACTCTACTTCATAGGGTCGCCATTAGTCGCCTGCACTTAACAACAACAACTCTTGTTCATTGTCAATGAGTGTGAACTGATGCATAACTGAGCCATCACCAAGTTGTTAGAGGCTGTAAAATGCACGAGCCAGAATTTCCTGTCTCTCTCTTATGGATCTGTTGAAAGATTCCAGCTCTGGGGAACTCCGTTTGTGCCAGAGAAGACTTGTTAATTTGCAAATGAAGATCATGAGGAATTTTTCTGCAGGACCTCTGAGTGGACTCAAACTTCTAACCTTTCATTCTGCAACTGAGTATGTTAACTGCTTACACCACCCAGAGGGTTTATTATTTATCTCCATCAAAACCCATGGAATTGTAAGCTCAAAGAGGACAGGATGTTGTTTTCTCTGTTTTGTTTATTGATATATCCCTATCTCCTAGAATAGTCTTAGTGTGTATGTACTTACTATATACTTATGAGATACATGTCCAGTGGAAGAAGTGGTGAGATTGGCATTGCCGTAGGCATGGAGAGGAGTGGACAAACATGAGTGATGTGTAGGAGACAGAAATGTCAGGATTTGATGAGTATGATACAGAATGTAACATGATACAGATGAGGAAAATGAGTTGTCTTGGGAGACTGAGAAATGTAAACAGAGGAAAGCTAGGAAAATCAGGTCAGCCTGGGAGTTTAAGGAAGGATTCATCCTGGGGATGGAAGAGCGAGCTCCACTGAAGGAAATTCCATTGGCCATAGTGGCACAGGAACCAATGAAATAGCACATTAAATACTGTTCTTCAATTGTTTCAAGAACACTCTCCACTTTTTCTCCTGAGTTAGCTGCCTTTTTCCTCCTTTCTTCTGACCAGCACATAGTGAAATGCACAGCTGTTTCTTCACTGAGATGGTCACTGTAAGTCACAAGCACAAATTTACTAATAATTCTACTATCAAGTGGCTAAATTTTCCTGTCCTTGAATATTGAATTGGCTTTGTGATTCACTCCTAAACAAAAACATAGGATGGAAATAACACTGAGTGGTTGCAAAATGTTAAGTCATAAACAGGAGAAAAGGCCTCTTTCTGGCTCTCTACTGGAACCTACATGAGCTGGAGAAATCACGCAGAGAGACACCACCACCAGTTGCCATTAAATGGATTCGCACTCACAGCGACCCCATCTGTTATCCAGCAGAACTGTTGCCTGGAAGTTTCTTGGTTGTAATCTTTATGGGAGCATTTTGCAGGAATTGCTCTCAGAGTGCTTCTGACTGGGTTCAACTCCCCAGAAGTTGGGTATGAACAG